TCTTTTGTAGAGCTCCCTGGGCTGAAATTCAGACCTTCAATTTCTTGTCCTAAGGAGAGATACACATCCTTTAGGAAGAATGGTACAACAGTGACATCCTTACCCTTTGCACCTCCTGATTATCCCCAGAACAGCTGGCTTAATGTAACAGTAATTCACAGTCCTCAGCTGCATGGCTGCAGAGAATTCGTCATTATTCAGAGTTCAGCAAGTGCCAGTAGTGTTATTGAAGTGGTAATTGAATTTGGTGAACCCTCTGTGGTCCAGACAGCATAGCACTGCCGGCGAGAACCATGCGGTGCGGTTAAGATGAATACGTTTCCAACAATAATGAATCTTCAAACTAAGCTTGATAGCACACAGCCAAAAGGACATACTGTTTTGATAATTTGATTTATGATATTGAGCATTTTGGATTGAAACCCGTGCAGAAGCATGACAATGTGTACCTACAGGAAGATCCTGGAAAAAATAATCCAGTACTGCCTAGAAATCTCTGTCGAAAGCTCTATTGAAAATCTCATCAAGCACAGATATGTATGTGACAAATTATCTCCTTGTGTAAAGACGTCCTTGCCACATTCTTGAACTGAATCCTTGTGGGATGGAAGAAAAATCCCCAAATAATTTTCAATGAAGTGTGCCTTATCACTAAAAAGCAATTAAGTGCTTTCAAAATTTCACATTCACAGAATGATCTCAACAACCTCACTACTTTGCAATGCTGCTTCTAAAAGAGAACATTTATAGTTTGGGAAAATAGCACAAAAATGAAAACTGCTGGAATTGTTTTGGTTGCTGAAAATATACTTAGCCTCATGGCTGTGGTGCTGAAGAAAGGAGCGAGCTTTGGCTCTGAGTTCAGTCAGACCCTGAGTTTGAACCCCAGCTCCTTCATTTACTGTGTCCTTAATAGGCAATTAACTCCCTTTATACTCTCCAGACTTCCCTGTAAAAATGAGGTCAGTAATGTCTACCTCTGACTAGGACAAGCAGAGAATAAGGGGCAGAGCTTGGCTCTACTGGATCTTATTATTATAATAGCTGTCATTTGCTGGCCTACTATGTGTCTGGCACAGTCAAGTGCTTATGAACACATATTATCTTAACAACAATGTGTGGTTGATACTTAGGGTAACCAATCTGACCCAGTTTTCCTGGGTCTGTCCGATCTTACAAACAAAAGTCCTGTGTCCCAGTAATCCTTACCGTTTGGGACAAATGAAGATGGTTGGTCACTCTATTAATATTTATGGTCTCCTCTTACAGGTGTAGAAACTGAGACTCAGAGAGTATGCGCAAATTGTTCAATATCCCACAGCTGGGAAAGAGTAGGCCTGGTATTCAAACCCAGGCTTGAATAACTCCAAAACCTGTACTCATTCTGCAGCCCTCAATCCTGCTCAGTAAATGTTGCTTTCCTTGCCATATTCCTAGAACATTCTGGACTTAATGGATATTTATAGATCAGGTCACATTTTTTCAAATGTCTCAAACTAAATTATAAATTTAGTTATAATTTCAGGACTGCATGCATGCATGTGTGTGTTTGTGTGGGTCTGAGAGTGGAGGATTGCTCTCCAAGTGACAGTGATAATGAAAATGATCGTTTAAAAGCCTAACATTTATTTCAAAGAACATTCTGTCTGTTGTCCATCCATTCATTTCATCCATTCACTCATTTATTTATCCATCTGTTCAATGGGTTTATAGTGAAGTCTTACTGTGTGCCAGATACTAGGGCAGATACAAAGAAGATTAAGATGCTGGCCTCGAGATGCTCAATGTCATGGAATTTAAAGAATGGATTATAAAATACTGTGACACTATGAAGCAAGCCCTCCATCATTCCCACCTCCCCTTGCACACTCAAGCCATGCAGATCTTCTCTACTGAAGTTCTAAGCTTATTCCTGACACTAGGTTTTTTGTATTAGCTCTTACTTCTGCCCAGAAGATTCTTTCTCCTAATCTTGGTCATTCAGATCTAGAATGAAATGTGACCTCTTCAGAAAGAGCTTCCTTGACCACCTCCAGCTAAACTGGCCACCAAGAAATTCTCTATTAGATTGCCCTGTTTGGTGATCTTCATGGGGTTTATTTATCACTATTTGATATTCATTTTCATTGATCGTTTACTTGCTTTTTGCCTGCTTTTGCCAACAGAGAGAATGTAAAGTCCAGGAAGGAGAGGTAACTTGTTTATTTTATTGTTTGTTTTATTTTCCCAGAACTTAAAACAATGCTAGGCACCCAGAAATAGTTAGTAAGTGGTTTTTGAATCAACAAAATGAATGAATCAGCAAGTATTTTGGATGCTGGAAGGGGCAGCCCACTCAACATGAATGAGCAGAGGTGTGAGGGGAACTTTGCTTGAAGGGATATCTGAATTTAGCCTTACCCTTTAATCCCCCTGCTTTAAAAGGTAGGATGTTCTCAGTTGGAAAAAAAAAAAAGAAAGAAAGAAAAGAAAAACGTAAAGAAATCACAAGCAACAACAAGAAGGCCCAACTTGGCATAACACTATAATACTTTATTGTATATTGTCTCCTAGTTCTCTTTACATTTGTGTTCGCAGATAATTTTGAACAAAAACAAATCACTTTTTTCACAATTCTATACTTTTTGTGGGAGGTAAGTATTTTCTTACATTTTCATTTTAAAGATAACTTTGGTTATCTTTAAATGGCTGTACTGGGATTATCTAGCCAAATCTACATCATTGGAACTTTGGATATTCCCATTTTGCCATTGTGGACAGTATTGGACTGAACATCCTTGAAGAGAGATTGTCTTTGCATGGATTCATGTGATTGCTTAAATTAGAAACAAAAGGACTTTGATTTGAGTTCTAGATCCACCAGTTTCTTTCAACCGTTTGTTTAAAATTTTTTAAGCTTCCTCATGTGTAAAATGGGGAGGAGTGCTTACTTCACAGGGCCATTGGGCAAATTAAATGCTGTTAATGAGGGTAATGTGCTCAGCACAAATAAGTGGGCAATTGGTGTTAGCTGTCCTTAGTAACGTCCTTTGATTAAACTCTAGAAATCAAACTGGCTTTCCAATTTATCTTAAGGGACAAATAGAAACTTGCTAAATATATGGGTCAGGCAGGAGGCTGTAGGTAGGGGAAGTAAAGTTGGGGATAAGGTTTTTTTTTTTGTTTGTTTGTTTGTTTGTTTGTTTAACTATGGAAGAACTCTAGACCCACTGCATCAGCCAGAAACTTTAACATAAAAGTTATATTAACTTTGACCCTCACACTGCCCGGATAGCAGTCCTGTTCACTGCTGGGCTCTGCATTGCCTCTGGAAATATGCTTTTCTAGGCACATAGTAAGAGTAGGTTGACCAAGATAATGCTGTTGGTTTAAGCTGGGTAATTGGGAGGATGGAGAGCAATTTGAAGCCAGAGAGGCAAGTTTTGCTTGGCCCACATTCAATTTTTAATACATAGATGTGTCTAGCAGGTTGTCCAGAAAAACATATCAGGGCTTGAGATGTTGGCTTGAGTAAACAGTGTGGAGACTATCTGAGGCCTTGGCAATAGAGATCACCTAACTCAGAACTATCTTTTGTTTCCCTTCCGATAAGAAATTGTAAGCTCATCTAAAAATATCTGCTTTGCTTTCAATAGATGCTGTCGCTTAGTGTCTGATTTAATTTGTAAGTTTTAATTTTATTTATATTTCCTTTTTTATATGGAAGTATAATTAACATATAGGGTTATATTAATTTCAGGTGTACAATATAATGAGACAGCAATTCTATACATTACTCAGTGCTCATCACGAGAAGTGTATTCTTAATCCCCTCTGTCTATTTCACCCACTCCCACTGAAAACCACCAGTTTGTTCTCTAGTTTCTTTTGTTTCTCTTTTTTTCTTTGTTGAGTCTGGTTTCTTTTGTTTGTCTTTTTTTCTTTGTTTTGTTTCTTAAATTCCCCATATGAGTGAAACCATATGGCATTTGTCTTTCTCTGTCTGACTTATTTCACTTACCATTATACCCTCTAGATCCATCCATTATTTATATTTTCAGTAAGCAACTCATAAGCACATAAGTAATGGCAGTCACACATTGATAAAATCATATTTATTTAGTGATGTCTGACAAATAGAGAAAGTAAAAAGAATATTTTAAAAAATGTATAACTTATATATAAATACTTTAAAAGAGAAAAGCTGAACACACATGGTAACATTAAAAGAATGTAATCATTTAAGTTTGCAACCTATCTTGTAGCCTGACAAATTAGATACACATATGTATATACATATATCTTGTTTGTGAGTTTGCATAATTAGGGCCCAAGGATAAGTTTTGGGCATGTCTACAATAATTCTGAACTTCCATAAAATTTGTGGTATTTTACCACCACAGTCTTGTTGATTTTATTCTTCTTTCTCAAAATCTATGACCAGCACACTTGAAAGTCATCAAAGGTTGTAATCTGGTGCTTTGGGCCCCAGTTTACTCATCAGTAAGATGAAGAAAATCTCTGCTGATATGTTCTGCTTCTTCTGAACGAAAAAGTAGTGAGCCCCAGTAGCCTCCAGCATATAGAAATGTATGAGGGCTGAGAGGCCAGGTCATCTCTGTATTAGCAGGAGTTTTCTGTTTAGCTTCTTTCTTTGGAAGGGAGTCAACTTGTCTGCAACGGAGCAAGTTTATCACACCAGTCCACTTAACTAACAAACATTCCATTCCTGTAGATACAGCTCGTTTCCTAGTGTGCAACGCAACAGAAGACTAGTAGTCTCTGGATTTCACACTGAAAAGCTACACATTTCCTCAGATCTTGAACTTGGAAGTTCAGAGTTTAGCCACCCAAAAAGAGAGTTCAACAGAGACCCCTCAAGTCAAACCTCAATATAGGGCAAAATATTTGTATGACAACATGTTCAGTATGATATTGAACTTCACTGTGACATTCATGACAGTGACATTTTCTTGATATTGCACTAGTGTATAACAAAATAAGATGAGTGTAATGTGATAGTCTACACAGTAAAACATGTATCTGATTCTTTAAATTTATACAAATTTTCATTTGTAGTCAATCATCCCTAAGTACTATCCTGAGCTCACCTTGATTTCAAGTTTACAGTTAATCGTATCTTTCCTTAAAAAAAAAAAAGACAGATATAACTGACCTCATATGACCACAGAAAATACATAGGACTCAGGGGTAAAATAATAATTCTTCCTAATTTTTCTTATATTCATTTGATGTTGGGTAGCTACAGTTTGCCTCTGTAGGTATGCTTTTCAAGGATTATATTTTACATTTCCCCTCTGCTGGTGTTTGGCTTTAACTCTTGGAGGAAGGCCTCATGGTTATGAGGACAGTTGCTGTGACAGGTGCAGGTCCCAATGACCATCACTGGTTTCTTGATGATCTGTCCTGGGGAGCACTGGAACTCCACCTGGATGGTTTTGGTGTTGTGGGGGGTACAGCATCGGCCATCACTACAGACCCCACAGAACCTGGGCTTGTAGGTGTGCAGGCTGGTGCAGTTCTTGAACTGCAGGTGGATGGCTTTGAGTGACTTCGTGGTGCGGAGACATTTCTTTCCTTTCTAAGAAAGATGAAAAGGAGAGATTCGTGGAATAGCTACTGTTCCTCTGAGGGACCATCAGGGATATGGAATAAATTGCTAGCTGCCTACCCCCAACCTACCCCCTATCCATTGTTCTTTCTTCTTTGCTAACATGACATTATTGTGTTTGGGCAATTTGGTCAGCTACTAGTATTTGCTTCCCCAGAATATCTGGGAGCTTGGGATGGCTTTGTGATCAAGTTCTGGCCAATGATACATAGGCCAAGGGATTCTGGGAAGCCCTTTGCCCTTCAGATAGGTACAGCTCTTTATTGCTTCCTGCATTCATTGTCTTCCCGCGTAGAATGTGGAAACCATGCCTAATGGTACACAACCATCTTTTGACCTCGTGGCGATAAGCATGAGGGTGAAAGTGTATATAAATAAAGCTATTTTTTCAAGGCACTGGAACAGGCTTTGATGTTGTTTTAGCTTATGCATTCTTAGGCATTATAAAAAGAAAGGGAATATACCTGGCAGCATTGCATACTCCTAATGCTTCAAATACTTTTCAGACATTAATTCACTTAACATTATTAACAACATTCACTCCTACTAGGATCAATTATTCATGTAAGGAACAACTGTGCAAGCTTCACAGATGAGTAAATAGAGTCTCAAAGGCCTAAAGTCTCCAGAAACATCTAGTGATTGAATGTCTGACACAAGCCCATGTCTTCTATTATACTATAACCTCAGGAACATCTAAAACAACAGGATTTAAGGTTATTTTCCATGAAAGCGGGGTAAGTGGAGAATTTATTCAATATGCCATTAGTAATGGTTGATGAGGTACCTTCATATTGATAATTCAGCACAACACTGACTCTATGTTTATTTCCCACTTAGATTTCTTCACCTACTAATTTGCCATAATTCCCTTCTGCTTTTCACTTTCCTAGGCACAGCCCACAGCTGTGGAGTGATGAGGCTTGGGATTCTCTTAAATCAGTGGCTCTCAAACTTTACATCAGAATCTTCTAGAAGGTCTGCTAAAACACAGATTGTTGGGCCTTACACCCAGAGTTTCTGATTCAGTAGGTTTGATGTGGGCCCCAAACATTTACATTTCTAACAGGTCCTTAGATGCTGCTGCTGCTCTGGGGAGCCACACTTAGAGAAGCACTGGCTCATATTTAAGCATCTTTTGGTGTTAGGAAGTAATGATTATTATGCTAGTATTTCCCCAGATTCCAAATAAATTTTGGAACCTTTATGAAATATATATATGTCTTAAATATAATATCTCCCAATATAAAACTGGGTGCAAGTTACACAAACAAATATAAAAATTTTGACAAAAGAAACAATAGAAAAAGCAAAGTTTTAGAGGCATGACATGGAAAAGCCTTATTTAATAAGGTAGTGTGTCCTTGACAATAGTAAAGGCCCTCTTTTTCTTCCTTTTTCATATTTAACGAGTAGCCTATATTCTTGTCAATGTCCTCAAAGAGGTACAAGGTCAGCAACATCTGTGTGTGTGTATGTGAGAGAGAGAGAGAGAGAGAGAGAGAGAAGTAGAGAAAGACAGACAGGAGACAGGAACAGAGACCCAGGGAGAGAGAAACAGAGAGAGGCAGCTTTGTGGGTAGACCTCCATAACTGTGCCACATGCATGTTGGAATTCCCCTAAGTGTGGGGAGGTGCAGCTTCTAGCATATAATTTTAGGGATGTTTCTATGTGTTCTTTCAAAATTGGTGGAAGAAACATAAATCAGGATGGAGCCCCAAAAGTCATATAGCCATGTAGTCATATAACTAATACGACTGCTGGAGACTTATTCTAGCAATAAATAGAAATGATGCCTAATGCTAACAGAGTCATCTCTGCCCAGCCACTTTGTAAATTCATTCTATTTAATCCTCATGACAACTTTGAGGTAGGTACTTTCAATGGCCTCATTATAGGGGGGAAGGAATTGAGGCTTAGAGGTTAAGAAAATTCATCCAGATCCCACAGCTGGTTCATGTGGGAAGCCAGGATTTAGGTTGTCTGGCTCCAGAGTTGCACCCTTAAGCATTAGGTGATATTGCCTCGGTGTAGAGGTATGTAAATCTTTCATTGTTAGACACTATTTTGGCCTTAGGTTTGTACAAATTTCCATATAATGGTTCAATTTGAGTAGTGCATTTGTCTGATCTAGGGCTCTGGTAACAAGGCCTGTGATGTCATCAGGAACCAATCAGAGCTTCTGATCCACATGCCTTATAGTCAGTGTTAACACACTGAGTTGATTCATTTCCAGCAAAAAAAGGAAAGAAATGTGCTATTTTATTTGGCACATATTGCCTTTTGCCTTATGCTGGCAAATGTACTATTCCCACTAGACTTTTTAAAATACTGAAAATAATTCCCAGACATCCATTCATTTATTCATCAACAATTGTTTATCAAGCACACAATATGGGCCAGGTAGGATTTTGGGGACTGAGGGTTGAGTGAGGAAGATACAATTTCTATCCCGTGCTTACTACAGATCGAGCCTAAGAGGTGAAAAAAAACTGAGGTCAGAAGTGACCACTTTAAAATCAGCTGTGCTTGGCAACTGAGCAGCCAGTTTTTTTCCAGGAATGGAATGAGATTTGCTAGACCGTCTCAACTGGGGACACTATTACAGTTGGCCGGCTCCTCCCTCTACCTGTGGGCCTGCTGTGAGTTGCTTGGGATATTTCAGTACATGAAAGAGAAAAAAAAAAAAGAAGAAGAAGAAGGTAAACTCTCTCATTGCAGGAAGCTCTCTGCCTTTTCTCTGGGGTTCACTCCCCAGCTAGAGCTGACCTCTGAGTCAACTAGTATCACAGTGACTTTCTAGAGCCCAGATGCCCATGAAGCAAAGCTACCTGCTCTGGGATGGGAGGCTGCCCCCAGGCTCCTACCTTATCTGCTGGTTGCTTGTGTTCTTGTTCACAGGGCCGCACCATGCAGAGGCGAGTCTGCTTCACCATTTCACACTGTGGATTCCTATTGGTGACCCGGGTGGAAAAACCCATACCACAGCTCTTGGAACATGCGCTCCACTCTGTGGTCTGTTCAATGCAGTTGCTGCTGGAGTCAGAGACCGCAACTCCTAGCGTGGCTTCTGTCCTGTAGGCTATGGGACGGACCATTAAAGGTGGCCATATTGGGTAAAACATGGGAATTGCCGAATGATCCTTTCAACCATCACTGGAAAGAGGGTCTCGTTCAATTCTGTACCCACTAAACTCAGGTGCTCTCAGAACTGGATCTCTGTATTTATAAACCTTAAAGAGGAGGCACAATGCCAGCACATTCTAGGCCTTCAAGAAAGATTTGTGGAATGACTGTCCAACTTGTCCTGAAGAAGCTTAGGAGAACCAGTCTTTAAGAAGCCTAGCAGTTTGAAGAATGTAGAACAGGATAGCATCAACAACCATTCCATAAGCTGTACTGTTTTCAACATGTGATTTTATAGGGAAAAGGGATCATGATGAAATTTTAATTGGATGAGCCATTAGAACCTACCGACTCAAAATAGTGACAAAAGCTATACTTTGTTCTAGGGAGGTGAAACCGGCTACTTGGATTATTGGGATATAGACACTTGGACTTTGATTACAAAAAGTTCTGTCTCAACACTTCATATGTATGGCTTGGGGCACTTCTACATGGCAGTTCTCCTATCTGCAAGGCATGGCTGACATCTCCAATTTCTGACCTCAGAAAAGCTGGAAAGCTCAGCGTATGCCAGCATAAATAATCTGGCTGATTCATGGCTTCTAAAACATTCTCTACTGGCTCTTGAATTTTTTTTTCCCAAAAAACCATTTCCTTTAGAAGATAAAACACAAAGGAAAAGCAAAACAAAGATCCTTGACCCTTCTTACAGCATCTGGAAAGGTGGCATTTCTCTGTGACACCTGTCCAGGGAAAAGTAGCATTCTTCAAGAAGGCTGGTCTTGAGAGCACATGGGTAATACCCAGAATCTGGAAAAGACTGATTTTTTTTTTTTTTTACTTTTATCTCTGTGATGTTAATAAGGGTCAAGCGGTGGTGCGCTAAAATATAAACAGTAGTCAGGCAGTAAGACAAAATCAGTCCCCTTGCTCAAAAGAACCACTGAATGCAGCAGGTTCTCTTTGGGAGAAACTTTGGGAGAATACTTTGGCTTGGATCCACACACGTGATGTGTTTGTTCTCAGTGGGCAATCTGGAATCCACAACCGGATGGCCAGAAACAGAGGCCAGTTTCTCATGGCAAGTCCTAAAGACCACCCATGCTTCCTGTCTGCCTTTAACCTGTGTGGTGATCACATTCAGGTATCCGGAGTTTCTTACCTGGAAGGGCAAGGCCTCCCAACTGCCCCTTCTCATCTGAGTCACAGATCCACTTTTCACAGCACTCCCCAGGCACTTCAACTTTTCTGGGAGCTGGGCAGTCGGGCTGGGGCAGGAGCAGGTCCTCTCCACAGCGGGGCACACAGCCGATCTGCCCATCTCTGCAGGCACACTGGTATTTGCAGCTTGGCTGGAAGGTCTCCCCGCTTTGGTAAATGACCCCATCAAACACACAGTTGTCGCCTTCTACCGCTAGAGCATTGGGGAAGCAAGGCAGAGGGAAGGGCAGAGAGAAAAATCAAGAACAGAGTGTGGTGGAGAAGCTATACAAGCTACATGCAAATCCCACATCCCCCTTTTTCTCGTTGAAGTGATCTGTTTCTTCTCTCTCTCTCTCTCTCTCTCTCTCTGGCAGAGAGAGGTCCTCCTGGAGGCCTCTCAGAGCAAGAAGAAACCTTGAAGACCATCCAATCCTTCCATTTTATTTCACAGATGAGGCAGGGAGAGCGCCACTAAGAAGTGACTCTCCCACAGCTGTTGTTCCCATGATAAAGTCATTTTGCTAGAACCTTAGATTCTCCTACTCCAACAGCTTAGATAGAAAGAAAAAGGTGCACTTCTCCTTCTCCCAATAGGTTAACTGGTCAAATAGGGAAGGGTGCTAGGATTCCTTGGCGTTCCAGCACAATAAATAGTAACTTAGAGAAAAAAGTAAAAGGCTATTTGAAGCCCTCTTATCGGGGGAGGCGGGGGCAGCCTCCGACTCAATGGTACACCACGGGGGAAAAATGATCCTCCAATCAGTTTCACCAGCCTGAATTGGTTGGTTGTCTGCATTTTATTTTATTCACAGCCCAGACTGGGGTTACATAGTCGTCCAGGAGATCAAAGGCTGCTTTAGCTCAAATAGGATCATTACAGGTGTGAAAACAAATCTGCTGGGCGGCAGATGGGGGGGAACTGTGAGCTTGTAAGCCCAAGATTCCAGCACCCCCAAGCACCCCCTTGGACATGTCCAAAGGAAATGATATCACTGGCCCTAAACTCTGCTCTGTTCCCCGGCTAGGCTATCCAGATCCCACTGTAAGGAGGCAGGTGATGAGTGCTTCTCACCTTTGCGGGCAGGTTTCCTCTCCGGCTTCTAGCGCTCCCCAAAGCTGCAAGCACGCCCCCACCCCCCGACCATGCCTGGCGCACAGTAAGCGCTCCACAAACATCACCTGCTGTAACATCCCCGTTATTATTATTTGCACGTTCCCCTCAGGGAAGGGGAGAAGGCGAGGAAAGGGGCAGCAGGCGGGAGCAGAGGGCAGGCGGCGCAGGGGGCCGGGTTACCCATGCAGATGCCCGTTCCCGCGCTGGGGTCGGCTCTGCGGTCGCAGAAGAGGCCGCGGCTCTCCTCGCACGGCTCCAGCAGGGAGCAGCTCTCGCCGCGCTGGCGGGCGCACACCACACAGCAGGAGCAGTCGTCCAGCACGGCTCGCACCCCGGGGGCGCAGCTTGGCGGCGTCTTGGGACACCGGGCCGGACACTGGGCGGGACAGCGCTGGGTGGCCGCGACCTGGCGCGGGCGGGACAAGAAGGAGAAAGCTCTCAGCAGAGACTATCGAAGGCGGGGTGACCCGGGCCGCCGAGCAGGGGCCGCCCTGGACGGCAAAGTAACCAGAGGCACCTGACGGGTGCGCCACTCACCTGTCCCAGGACGTGGAGCAGCAGGAAGGCCAGGCCAATGCACCGCTTGGGCAGACTCTGCACACTCTGCATGGTCAGGCTTTTCCCTCCCGCTTGGACGAAACAAGACTGGGCGCTCCAGATCCGCCCCGCTCGCCCCGCAGCAGGTCGGGCCTCTGTTCCCCGGCGGCACCGGCTTAGGTTTTATAGCGCGCTCGCGGGACGCGCTCAAGCCGGTTGGCTGCAGGGCAGGGGAGCGGGGGGGGGGGGGGGGGGGGGGGGGGAATGGAACGAACCCCGGGGTTGCCATGGCAATTGGCCGTGGGTGCCGCTCTCCTTAGGGCGCGGCCCTGGGGCCTGTGTGTGCCTGTGTGTGGCGACTGGCTTTTCCCGGAGCGCCGGGAGGGGCAGGGTGGAGTCGCGCGGCCTGGACCCAGGGCTCGCTCGAGCGCGTGGGAAGGAAACGCCCGTTTCCTCCTGGAAGCTGCTTTGCCTTCCCCGAGGACCGGGACACCGGCACTCCCCACCGCGCTGCGCGCTGGCCGTTCCAAGCTGGGCTGCAAACGTGGGGCTCTCCTCAAGGGGTGCCTGCAGTTTGGGGCCATCTGCGGGGGGTTGGCGAGAGGCCCAGGGGTTGAGTCATAAGGGAAGCACATGCAAGTTTGTCACCGTTTAGGGCACTCTTTGAATGTGTTGCGGGGAGGGGAGGGGAGGGAGGGAAGCAGAAAGAAGAAAGAAAGTGGAGGGAAAAAGCAAGAAAAGAGAAGGCAAAAGCAAAGCCAAAAAAAAAAAAAAAAAAAAAAAAGCAAAGCATCGCAGCTTTAGGATGAGGGATGCTATTGGCCAAATGGCAAAACGTTCCCTTGATTCTGATCATTCCAAGTCCCCACTGATTCTTAACAGCCCCCCCTTCCGATTACGCAGGCTTGGAAGAAATAAAATTAAAACATAATAAAATAAAAAACATAAGAGACTGAGGTAAAATACAAGCTTTTTTTCCTGATAGAAAAAAGCCTTGAAACACCTGTTGTATCATGCCTAGGGTAAATCAGCACATGTTGAAATCCAAAAGCCTTTGAGAGTTGGTGAGGTAGGCTCAGCTCAGCCACTGTCCAAATCTCAGTGAATTAGGTAAGGAGCGAGGACGTATTTGCTTTACTTGGCTGACCCATCCAGCAAATCAAATCTTTCTCCCACCCGGCATCCACGTTTAAAAAATGGCTGCTTTGAAGCACTTGTCATCTCTCATGAGAATGAGAGCAGTTTTACTGCTCCAAAGATGATATTGCTTGATGGATTAAAAGAAAATTTCTCCCCTGCTTCAACTTTGCTGCTGCCTCTGGGATAACTATGCCCAGCAACTCTGAGGATAGCCACATTGGAAAGACACTTTATAAGAAAAATTATGCAGTCCTGTGATGTAACTCTAGACTTGAAAAAGAAACAAATTTCCTCTACATCATCCATCTCCAGCATGAAGGAAAGCAAAGGCAGCTTGTGGAAGGGGTCAGGCGTGTTCTTCATGCTGAAGTCATCCCAGGCCCCTTCAGGAGAGTTCTCTGAGCACCTTGAAACTGCTATTGCATATTCCCAAGCTGGCAATAATTCTGCTTTCTTTGAGGTAAACCAAACTCAGCAGTACTCGAAACTTGACAAGAAATTGAACAGTTAATCTGTGCCATGTCTAGGGCACTCATCCACTCTTCAAGTTGACAAGCTTCATGGGTCATCAGGCCTAGTGATTCTTCTACTCGGCTGCACATCAGAATCAACCAGGGTGTATTTTTTTAGAAATACAGATTCTTCGGCCCCACCCTTGGCCTACTCAGTTGGATTCTCTGGTGAGGGCTCTTGGTAGACAGCATTTTATTATATTTTGAAATGGGAGCTGGCTTTGGGAAACCTATATTTCTAGAACAACTGGAAGCATAGCTAATGGGGAAGCAAGAATCTTGGCCAGGTTTTCAAAGTATGAACAGCCAGAATAAGGAGAAACCAGCAGCACTGAGGCTGGGGCTGACTCTTCTTGGGAAGGGGGAAGATGAGAGGAGAAATGTGAATTCAAGATAAGGAGGAAAATGTCAAGAAGTCACAGTTACTGTGAGCCTCTTGATTGCAAGCAGTAGAAACCAAGCTGGAACTAGCCTCAGCAAGAGGACTTCTGGAGGGATGCTATGGTATTTCACAGCTAACTAATGGGAAAGGTGCTAGTGGGCCTAGAGGCCACTAGAATCAGGGCCTTGGAGCTACCAAGACTCCATCTCCCCATCTGTTTTCATTGCTCTTCTGGGTGTCAGTTTTACTCTGTCTCACCACAGACCAGCTTCTCCCATATAAAGGAAACGTCAACCTTAAGGTCTCCCTACCCTCTTACATTGTGACCTTATCACCACAGAAGGAATTTGGAAAGTTCCAGGAGAGGAGCTGGATGAGCTCACCCTAGGTTAATTGAAGGAGACAAGAAAGATGAGGAATGGGGATTAGCTAACACCACACAATTGGAATGGGGTGGAAGAAGAGTGTCCTAGGAAAGAAGGGGTGATTCTTTAAGAAGAAAACCTGTGTGATAGGCCAAACAGTACATATCCTCTCTACCACCTGCTGTAAATTCTCCTGGGTAAGGAGCTCCGCATTAAAACAATTGGAAATTGAAAGTGAAGCCATCTGATGATAATCAGGTCATGTTTGCTGCACTAGGACATCTTCTGTCAAATCCTCCATGCTGAGGTAGATTTTGTCCTCTCCACTGGCCTGGCACCAGTGGTGTTTTCCCATCTATCTCTGAACTCACTGAATAACAGTGATGTGACTGTGGGTGTGCTTGTCTCCCTCTCCTGACCAGGAACCCTTGAGAACAGTGAGCACGTCATAGTTTCCAAAACACTCCCAGGGACGGACAAGGGGTCAGTTGTTCTTGGACCTTCTGAGATACTGCAAACCTCGCTTTAAGTTTTGTCCCTTGTTACTGGTTGAGGTAAGAAAGAACTGGAGGTGTTGTTCCTCAGCCGCAGCTACCCGCCATCACCATGTGCTTCTGACATGCACCTTCTCTCAGTTTTTCTTGGTGCTATGAGTCGAAAGGATGGCATACAGGCTGGTGACTTCCTCCTGTTGAAAATAAACCCTGTGGGGCGCCTGGGTGGCTCAGTTGGTTAAGCGACTGCCTTCGGCTCAGGTCATGATCCTGGAGTCCCGGGATCGAGTCCCGCATCGGGCTCCCTGCTCAGCGGAGAGTCTGCTTCTCCCTCGGACCCTCCCCCCTCTCATGATCTCTCTCTCTAACTCATTCTCTCTCTCAAATAAATAAATAAAATCTTAAAAAAAAAAAAAGAAAAGAAACCCTGTGTCAGTGGAGATGTCTGAGGAAGTCAGGGGACATCATGTAGAAACTCTTCATGAGTTGCTGGTCTTGGCTGCCCACCAAGATGGCAGCTCCACTTGGTTATGAGGTGCAAGTACTTTGGTGGATTCACCTCTTCATTTCATTTCTTTTCTCTTTTCTTTTCTTTTCTTTTCTTTTCTTTTCTTTTCTTTCTTTTCTTTTCTTTTCTTTCTCTCCTCCTTTTCCCTCACCCCAGATGTGACACCGGAGACTCATTGCTCCTTCTCTATCTCAGATTGGCTGTTAATTGATTTATATATATACATTTTAAAGATTTTATTTATTTTGAGAGAGAGAGAGAGCAAGCAGGGAGAGGGGTGGAGGGAGAGAATCTTTAAGCAGTCTCCATGCTGAGTGTGGAGCCTCATGTAGGCTCGATCTCATGACCCTGAGATCATGACCTGAGCTGAAATCAAGAGTTGGACATTTAACCAACTGAGCCATCCAGGCGCCCCTGATTTATATTCTTATTACTCATTAGTCAATGCTCCTACCCAGAGTACATGTTGAGAACGCCTTACATTTTATAAAGGTAAAATTTTATAAAAGTTTCCATTGTTGTTTTATTTTTTTCAGTTTTAAAAACGATTTTAAAAATATACTGGCACTGATTTCTGTAGCAGGCAAGAGAAATATAAAGCACATAACCCCATATTAAAAATGACACAAAGAAAAAGCAGTGACTATGATGTTATCACCTCCAGGACAACTCTATCCCTCTTCTCTCCTCAGTGATTACATTCTCTATAAACTCATAAACATCGATTGTGTCTTCATTCAGTCATTATTCAGTGAAGCCACATGTACTTAGCTCTGGGAATATGCCTCATAAATCCACCTCACAGCTCTTTAATGATTCGGTTGCTTTTTTCTAAATTTCCTTCATATGTCCCTTTCCTGGGGCCCCAGGGAATTGGTAGAACACAAGGTAATTCCCATTATATGTTATGCCGACCAGCTCTACAAGGTGTACAATTCTATGGCTAATATCAATCACACCCTCTTGCTTCTCTGACAGATCTCTTCTGTTCTTACTTTTCCGGAAACGACGAGAGAGGAGAAGCAGTGACAGGAGGTGAAATATTAAATGTATAATGTTTAGTGTTATCCCCTTTGGAAACATCTTCCTATCACCCACATTTTTAAAATTTATTTTTTAGTGCATTTCTTACAGAAAACAAAAATCCAGAAGATTAAGTAAAAAGAAATTCAAGCTAGAAATTGACTAGAAATGTGAGAAATAAGTTAATTTCTCCCACTGCTAAATGACCTCCTTATAGGGAAATGAGCTCTTTGGAACTGAAATAATTTTTAAAAAAGTTTTTGAAATGGAGGGTGCCTAGGTGGTACAGTTGGTTAAGCATCCAACTCTTGATCTCAGCTTAGCTTTTGATCTCAGGGTTGTGAGTTCAAGTCCTACATTGGGCTCCAAGCTGGGTGGGGAGCCTACTTAAGGAAAAAAAAAAAAGGTTTTGAACTGGAAGGAAGTCTCGCAAGCTTTAGGTACATGCCATACTCCTAGCCCCCAGGCACCAGCATTACCCATGCCCACCCCAGTTGAGGAAAGTGGTCCTGAGCAGTTCTTTCTATGTGACTTCTCTATGGCTTGTAACAGTCAGGTAGGTATAACCAGTTATGCTCCATGGACCAGAATCCTCTGGATCAGGAATTTGTGTCAGAGACAAAGGCACATGCATATGGACTGGACATCAGGTTAGCCAATAGCCTCTCAGGAGTGCTCCATATT